AACTCAGTTCGGGCCAGGCATCGAACCACTGATTGCTCAGAGCTCGCACTCTTGAGTGAGCTCTTAACCAACTGAGCCACTCGGCCGGCCCTTTAAGAAATATTTTTTACAAACCAGGCTCTACTCCTAGAGTATGTTTCCCAAGGATGGTCCCCAGGGGGGTCCCTGTGTCCCCAGGGTTCAGCTCTGAGCCACCTCCTTCTTATTTATCAAACATCGGCCCTCACCTCCAGGAAGGCAGAGGCCAGCTTGCAGGAAAGCAAGCCAGGCAAGCCAGAGGTTTGAGGCTTGTGGAGTGGGGTGGCTATCCCTTACCCCGCTGGGTGACCTCATACAAGTCCCTTCTCTTACCCATAGTCTCCCCTCTGTCAAAAAGGGCTGGCAGCAGCCCCAGCCCCCCTGATGGACATGGCACTTAGATGAGGGGTCTCAGCAGTGCTGGGCAATGGTGATAATTCACACCCGAGGCCCCATGTGGAGGCTGAGGAAATTGAGGTGCAGAAAGGAGAGGGTATTGCCTGAGATTCTTTACCCCCCCCCCAATTGTGAGCCAGTATCAAAGAGAGACCTCAAACCCTGCAATCTAGATGTACGATGACACTGCATCATGTTCCTGGGTCTAGAACATTCTAAGTCTGCACTGTCTAACATGGTAGCTGACAGTTGGATCTAGAACATTCTATGCCTGTGCTGTCCTACTCTAGTAGAACATTCTAGGCCTGCATTCTCCAACATAGTAGCTGCCCCCAGTCTAGAACATTCTAGATCTGTGCTGTATAAAAGATAGCTGACCCCTGATGTAGAACATTCTAGATTTGAGCTGCCCAACATGGTAGTCATTAGCCACATGTATCCATTTAAGTTTAAATTTACATTTCTTATAATTAAAAAACATTAAGAATTCAGTTCCTGAGTCATATTTGCCACAGTTCAAAGGCTCAATAGCCACAGGGACCTAGAGCCACCATAGTGGACAGCACAGACAGAACATGCCCATCATCATGGAAAGTTCTATTGGACAATGATGGTCTAGAATGGGGACTGGTAAACTACAGCCCTATTCAGGCCCCCTGTCTGTTTTGTAAATAAAGTTTTATTGCCACAGAGCCACACCCATTCATTTACATGTTGTCTGAGGCTTTGATGTGGCTATCACACGGGCTGTATGGCTGGCAGAGCCAAAAAAATTTGTATTCTCTGATCTTTTATATAAAAAGTTTGTTGACCCTAGACTTGGAACATTTTAGAAATATACTGTAGAGATGCGCCACGGCTTCGATAGCGACGGCTTCTTCTGCCGGGTCTCATTCTCGCCAGCCCCTCCCCCAGGAGACCGTTGCAGTCGGCCAATCTCAGCTCCACTGTAACCATGTGCAACAGAAAGGCGGTGATAAAAAATGCCGATATGTCCGAGGAGATGCAACAGGACTCGGTGGAGTGTGCTACTCAGGCATTGGAGAAATATAACATAGAGAAGGACATTGCGGCCCATATTAAGAAGGAGTTTGACAAGAAGTACAACCCCACCTGGCACTGCATCGTGGGGAGGAACTTCGGTAGTTATGTGACACATGAAACCAAACACTTCATCTACTTCTACCTGGGCCAGGTGGCCATCCTTCTGTTCAAATCTGGTTAGAAGCATGGACTGTGCTACACACCCAGTGATCCGTCCAAAACCAAGGACTGCAGCCTAAATTCCAAATACCAGAGACTGAAATCTTCAGCCTTGCCTAAAGGAACATCTTGATCTTGAACCTTTGTGTTGTTTTTGTACAGGGCTTTCTCTGTACTCATTTGTTGTGGTTATAAAACAATTAGCAAAACAGCTTACATTTGTATTTATTTTCTATTCCATACCTCTCCACCGCATGTTTTTTCTCAAAATCCATTCCTTCCCCTCCCCAACCAAAAAATAAATCTGTTGGAAAAGCGAAAAAAAAAAAAAGAAAAAAAGAAATATACTGTAGCCACCCGCCATATGTGGATACCGGGCCCTTAAAATGTAGCTTGTGTGACCGGGCAATGGGATTTTAAATTTTGTTTAATTGTAATTAATATCAATATAAACCTAAATCTAAAAACTGATACCCAACTCTATACTTGGAAAACCTTTAATTATGTTTAGAACTACTTGGGTATGTGAATCTCATTTGTCAACTGTCAATTTCACAAAATTGAGATGGGCTGTGAGTGTACGATATGCATACCAGGTTTTTACACAGGATGAAAAAAAGGAATGTGAACTAGCTTATTAATAATTTTTATACTAACTACACTGACTGCCTGTTGAAATGATAAGATTTTGGAGATAATTGGGTTAAAATGAAATATGGTATTAAAATGCATTTCACCTGTTTCACTTCCCTATTTAAATGTTGCTCCTAGAAATTTTAAATGCTGTGTGGCTTGCATTATATTTCTAGTAGTGCTGCTCACCAGCTCCTTATTCTCCTCACCAGGGTTTATCCACCTGGACACTATTTTTTTTTAAAGATTTTTATTGGGGAATTTGGGGGATGGGAACAGTGCTGGGGAATTGGGGGAAGGGGAACAGACAAGTTGCTGTCATTTTTTTGTTCTTCAGTCTAGTTGTGGAGGACGTTGCTTCACTGGCTCAAGTTGGCACCATCATTGCGCTCTTCCTGGGCGAGGCACATCAGTCGCTGGCTTCTGGACGGCTGCTCACTGCGGCTGCTGGCCGCTCACACTGGCTGCTGGCTACATACAGTAGCCCATGGCAACCCACTGCCACAGGGGTTGCAGCCTACGCCATCGCCGGCAACTCACTGCAGCCGGCGACTCACTGCAGGCGGCGACTCACTGCAGCCCAGCTCCAGATTGAGCTGTTGTTCAGCATCTTAGCTGTGGAGGGCAGTGTCACTGGCCCTCATATGTGGGATCCGAACCGGGGCCCTCTGGCATCCCAAACCAGTTCTTAACCATCGCGCCACTCGGCCGGCCCCACGTGGACACTATTGATTTGGGGTGGATAACTTTTGTTGTGGGGGCCCGTCTTGTGCCCTCCCATCCCTGGCCTCTACCCACTCCATGCCCATAGCATCTTCCAGTCTTGACAATGACAAATGTCCCCAGACATCGCCCAGTGTCCCCTGGGAGCAGAATCGCCCTGGGTTGAAAATTCCTCCTAACCTAATGTAAACTCTCCCATTAGACAACAGAGGCTCTTGTATGTTCTCAACAACATGCGGGTACCTGTCTGCCTCCGAGGCTTGGTACACTCCATCCGCACACCACCCCCATCTCCAACTCCATCTGCCACAATCCTCTCCATCTCCTGACTCAGCTCAAATACTTCCTCCTCCAAGAAGCCATCCTGTTTGCCCTCTACTGAGTCATCCATGCAGGTCACCTGGTTCTCCCTGGTGATGCTGCCCCCAGTCACCCTTACATCTGGCCATTCATTGTATGGTCACCCTCATAGTGGGTTGAATGGTGGTCCCCCTAAAAATATGTCCAAGTCTTAACCTCCGGAACCTGTGAATGAGACCTTATTTGAAAAGGGGGTCTTTACAGATGGAATTAAGTGACAGATCTGGAGATGAGGTCATCCTGTATTTAGGGTAAGCCCTAACTCTAATGACAGGTGTCCTTAGGAGAAAGGCAGAGGGACATTGGTGAGATGTTGACATGGGGGAAAAGGCCATTGAAGACAGAGGCAGGGATTATTGGAGTGATGCAACTATAAGCCAAGGAACTTCCGAGGGCCACCAGAAGCTGGGCGGGAGCTATGGAATGGATTTGCCCGGAGGGAGTGCAGCCCTTTTGTCACCTTGGTTTCAGATTTATGGCCTCCAGAACTGTGAGACAATACTTTTCTGTTGCTTTAAGCCCTCCAGTTGGTGGTGCTTTGTTACAGCAGCCCCAGGACTTGATCCAAGGCAGCTTTGGAAAATGGAAATCAACCAGTTCATTCCTCTGCTTGCCACCCTCTCATGTCCCTAGCCACCCTGGAATAAAATCCAAACTTCACACATGGCCCTGCCCCTTTCTTCTTTTCCCCTTTCCATCCTCACCCTCACTCCCACAGCACTACTCTGCCAACTTGCTAGCTGTTCCACAAATGCATCGAGCTTGGTTCAGCCTCAGGACCTTTGCACTGGCTGTGTCCTCTGCCAGGAATGCCCTTCCTGCAGAAAGTGCACGGCTCCCTCCTTTGCCTCCATCAGGTCACCTCCTCAGAAAGGTCTTCCCTGACCACCTGGCCTATCTAGAACCCCTCGGCATGTTCCTCCAACACACCAGGTGTCCCACTGTTGGCTGTACTGTGCCCATGTTCCCACCATTGATGGCTACAGCTGCCACCCAGGCAGCCTCTAAATATCTTTAATGCTGCAGGGTCTTTGAGAACTCCAGGCGGGGAGGGGCAAGCCTCACCGTCAGAGCCAGGGACCGCACTGTGATTCCTTCAATTTCTATGGAGATGTGATGCCTGGAGGCCAGGTTCACCTGGCTCAGGGGGAACCCCCATTCTACACTGGGGGCAGGAATCTCTTGCCCACCCAAAGAGGACAAGGCTGACAAGAGAGACTCAGCGGGGACAGAGCCTGGCCTGGCCTCTCCTGGGGATGAGAATACTGCTCACACAGCCCCTGCATCAAAGGGCCATAGCTCTATTTGCTTCAATGTTCCTCCAACATACCAGGCACAGTCCTGCCTCAGGGCCTTTGCATATGCTGTTCCCTCTGCCTGCTAATGCTTCCTCATCTTCAGGTTGCAGACCAAAGACACTCACACTCTGGGCCAGATCCCACTTACAAAACCACACACAACCACTCTGGTGTGCATAGGGCCTGACATGCAGAAGGCATTCAATAAATGCTCACCCTGGTGATCATTTTTGTCCCTCTGCATTTTATACCTCTTTCTGAGTCCAGAGGCATGTGGGCTTCACAGCTGATCTCAAAAAGGGCTTCGGCCTTCCCCAAGCTGACAGCAGCCCTCCATTCCCCCATCCCCAGACAACACCCAGGACTCACCCCAGGCAAGGTCTTCTGTTCGTGCAGGGCAGTCTGAGCTTTGATGGCAGAGTCCCTGGCACAGTAGGTGAGAAAGGCACAGCCTGGAAGAAAGAAAATTGGGGGTGTTAAGAGAAAAGGATGCTGTATACCCATATTAATAGCAGTGTGATTCACAATAGCCAAGAGGTGGAAGCAACCCAAGTGTCCTCAATGGATGATGGATAAACACAGTGTGGTCCATCCATACAGTGGAATATTATTTGGTCTTAAAAACGAAAGAAATTCTGACACCTGCTACAACATGGATGAACCGTGAGGACAATATGTTCAGCGAAATATGCCAGACAGAGAAGGACCAATACTGTGGGACTGAATTCACAGAAGGTCCCCAGAGGAGTCAGATTCAGAGAGAGAAAGTGGGAACCAGACAGATGGTGGGAGCCAGGGGCTGGGGGAGGGGGAGGGGAGTTAGTGCTAAATGGGGACAGAGTGTCAGTTTGGGAAGATGAGAAAGTTCTGGAGATGGATGGTGGGGATGGTTGTATAACAATGTGAATGCGTTTAATGCCGCTTGAACTGTACACTTAAAGATGGTTAAGATGGTAAACTTAATGTTATGTGTATTTTACTACAATAAAAAAATTGGGGGGGGGGAGAGGAAAAATGGTTAAGATGGTAGACCTTGTTATGTGTATTTTACTACAATTAAAATAATAAAAAGGGGATGACTGGTTAGCTCAGTTGGTTAAAGCATGATGCTGATAACACCAAGGTTGCCCGTTCGATCCCCGCATGGGCCACTGTGAGCTGCGCCCTCCTTAAAAGTCAACTATGCCATTGTAGCATGAAAGCAATGTGTAACCAATGACCATGGCTGTTCCCCAATAAAATTTTTTTAAATATATAAAAAATAATAAAACGGAGGACCCTGAAGCCATCGTTTGAGGTGGTGACAATAGCAGTGGTTCAGCTCCCCCCACCCCACTCCCCAAAGAGTTAAACAGTAAAGGACAGAGAGGAGACCAAGCTGTTAATTAAGTCCATGGCTGACGCTAGATGAAGAGATACTGAACACTGGGCTGGGCCAGGTGAGGTTGGGGAAGTGGACAGAGCAGCAGCTGCCCAGGGGAGAACAGTGGGGAGGGCACCAGCAGCTCTAAGGAGCCAGAAGAAGCACCTGCACTGGGATGAGGAGCAGTGGGCTCTGCCACTGACCTGCCTGTAGCCTTGTATGGGGCGCTGTCCTTGTCTTTGCCTCAATTTTCCCCATCAGCGAGGATGGTCTGAGAGTGCCATCTGATGGACCAACCCACGGGCGGGGGCGGAGCCAGATGGGTTGTGGCTCAGAGGCAAAGGGATGAGCCAATCAGGAGAGGCAAGGGACAGGGCCGGCCCTGAAGAGTCCAGAGGGAGGGTGTGATTGGACAACGCCCTGGGGCTGGCGTGGTGGGGGGGGGCGGGGCGCGGCGGCTAGGTGTGGGAGCCACAGAGATATGAGTCATTGAGAGAGACAGAGAAGTAAGGAGAGAGAAACACCCAGAAAAAGACCAATGAGATCAAGGGTATTTTGAAAGATGTTTGCTGGAGACGGGGTCAGCTCCCCTGGGATTGACACAGGGGTCTGGGCTCAGCGCTGGGCCTTGCCTCTCTAACCTCTGTGGACCTCATTTTCACTGCCTATGAAGTGAGACCATCGTTGGCTGCTCCGATGCTGTTGGACCCTGTGTCCCCCATCCCCAGCTCCCCCCACTCATGGTCTCTGTCTGCTTCCCCCCACCTTGGACCCCCTGTGCAGAGCTCTTGGGAACAGCTCTGTGGTGCCCACTTCCACCCCAGGCAGGAGCTAATTAAAGCTATGACTTGCTGGACTGCACTCACCACAAGGCTTGCTCTTGCCAGCTGGGCTGGATGATGGGGAGGCCTGAGAGGTCCCCTGGAACCCTGGGAAGGGGGCACCAGGCAGAGCTGAGGATAGTTTCTAGCATTTTAAAAACCATTTGTAAAATGTAAAATGGTGTAGCCATGTGGAGGACAGTTTGGCAGTTCCTCAAAAAAGTTAAATGTAGAATTACCATAGGATCCTGCAATTCCCTTCTGGGTCTCTATCTACCCAAAAGAATTGAAAGCAGGGACTCAAACAAATATTTGCACACCCATATTCACAACAGCATTATTCACAACAGCCAAAAGGTGGAAACAACCGAAATATCCATCAAAGATGGTTGCTAAACAAAATGTGGTCCATCCATACAATGGACGATTATTCAGCCTTAAAAGGAGGGAAGTTCTGACACCTGCTACAACATGGATGAATCTTGAGGACATTATGCTCAGTGAAAGAAGTCAGACACAAAAGGATAAATACTGTATAATTCCCCTTATAGGAGGTCCCTAGATGAGTAAAATCCAAAGAGACAGGGGCTGGGGAGAGGGAGGAAAATTTAGTGTTTAATGGGGACAGAATTTCAGTTTGAGAAGATGAGCAAGTTCTGGAGGTGGATGGTGGGGATGAGAGCACAACGATGTAAATGTGCTTAATGCCATTGAGTTATACACTTAAATATTGTCAATTTTGTTATGTATATTTTACCAAAATAAAAAATTATAATTGAGATATATTAAAAACATCCCTCCAAAAAAGCACAGAACATGTAAGTGTACACTATAACAAATAATTATAGTCATGTGACCATTTCACAGATCCAGAAATGGAACATGGCAGCCACCAGAAGCCCCAGTGTTCCTCCCACCCTATGACAATCTCTTTCATCCCCGAGAGGTGACTGCTACCCTGCTCTTGTGATAACCAGGTCATTGCTTTCATTGTGGTTTCCCACCCGCATGCATCACTAATCAATGTAGTGGAGTGCTTCTCAATGTTGAATTACATAAATGGAATCATAACATATGTCCACTTTTGTATCTGGCTTCTTCCACTCAACAACAGGTGGTCATGTGTATCAGGGATTAATTCCTTTTTGCTTCTGTGTAATATCCTATGAATATACTACAAATGGTTATTCATTCTTCTCTGAATGGGCTGTACACTCTTTGGGGCAATCTTGAGTAAAGCCTCTATGGAACATTCTTGCATACATATTTTGATGCACAAAAGCATATCCAAGAATGGGACTGCTGGTTATAAGGTCAGCATATGTTTAGCTTTTTTTTTTAAATATTTTATTGGGGGATTGGGGGAGGGGAACAGCACTGGGGAATCGGGGGAAGGGGAACAGACAAGTTGCTGTCCTTTTGTTCTTCAGTCTAGTTGTGGAGGACTTCGCTTCACTGGCCCATGTTGGTATTATCATTGCGCTCTTCCTGGATGAGGCAGGTTGGTCAGCGGCTCTTGGCAGCTCACACCGGCTGCAGGCCGCTCACGCTGGCTGCCGGCCACACACGGTAGCTTATGGCAGCCCACTGCAGCAGGGGCTGCAGCCTACTCCATCGCCGGCGACTCATGGCAGCCCAGCTCCAGGTTGAGCTGTTGTTCACCATCTTAGCTGTAGAGGGCAGGGTCACTGGCCCTCATGTGGGATCTGAACCGGGGCCCTGCTGCTCAGAGCTGGCGTCCCAAGCCAGCTCTTAACCAACGCACCACTCAGCCGGCCCGGCATATGTTTAGCTTTAATTGATTCTTTCAAACAGTTTTCCAAAGTGGGTTGTACCAATGTATATTCCCACCAGTGGGGTCTGAGAATCCTATTAATGCTTCATTCTCACCAGCTTGGTTTTTCCAGGCTTTTAAATGTTAGTCATTATGGTGGGTGTGTCATTGTACAATATTTCATTGAGATTATAATGTACACTCCCAGAGTTATTAATAAAACTGGGCACCTTGTTGTTTTGTAGTTCTTCATATATTGTGTGCGCTTATCTGTTTTTGGTTATGCATGATGCAAACATCTTCTCCCAATCCATGACCCGTCTTTCTATTATTTTTCTGTGCATGTATTTCTACTTTCTGAATTTAATCCCCTAAGGTCTTGAGGGAAATGAGAGGTGCTAAGACAACTAGCTCTAAGACCTGAGAGAAATTAGACACGGCTGGCAAGAATTTGGGCTGCAGTGAGATGTAAAATAGGGGCAGAACCCTTCCTTCTTGGGTACTTTCTTGCCTGTGGAGCCCTGCCTGCAGAACACGGAGTGTGCTGGCCCTGGGAGGGTAGGGACAGACCCCCGAGCAACCTTCTGAGGCCATTAGCCTCTGAGTCTGGAAGTTTTGCTGCAGAGGAAGGAACAAAAGTGTGGACCGCTGTCCCTGGTGCTGAAACATTTCCCTGTTCTCTTTGTCCCCTGTTCTCTTTGTCCAATCTCTTCTGAGCCTCTTATTTTTTTTCTAGTTGTTGAAAGTGTGTGATGTTTACCCGGTTCTGGATAAACAGAGCCTTGGTTTTTAGTTCCTGATAGAGTTGAATTGTTTCCCCTCCCTCCAATTCATATATGTGTTGCTGTGCTAATCCCCAGGACCTCAGATGTGGTCCTTATTCAGAAACAGAGTCATTGCAAATGTAATTAGTTAAGATGATGTCATACTGGATTAGGGAGAGCTCTAATGCAATAGAACAGGTGTCCTCATAAAAGGGGGAAAATCTGGACACAGAGACACACACACAGGGAGAACGCCATGTGAACACGAAGGCAGAACTCTAGGTGACAGATTAACAAGCCAAGGAAGAGTAAGGATTGCCAACAGCACCAGAAGCTGGGAGAGAGGACTGCATCGGATTCTCCCTCAGAAGGAACCAACTCAATCGACACCTTGATCTCAGACTTCCAGCCTCCAGAACTGGACCCTCTGAGGGAAACCTCAGCCTATTCAATGCCCACACCAGGTAAACCTCTCATCCTGATTCCGCCCTGGACACCCCTACCCCACACACCAGCCCTGGACAAGGAGGCTGAAGCTCAGTATCCAGCAGCCCCTCCTCCAACTGGCTGAGCACGGAGTGAACTGAGGGGTGGGGCAGGTAGAGGGCAGTCCCACCTGCAAAAACCGACAGGCAGAACGCTCAGCACTTGACAATCCTATGGTTCCCTTCATATCCACCCCCATTTTCAAAGCCTGGACCAGGGCTGATCTTCAGGGGTCAGTGCCCAC